AAAAATGAAGGCGTTTGTTAAAAAGTTCAATAACTTAAAAAAATTAAACGAAACACCCTATTTATTGTTTTTGCATTTAAAGGATTATTAAATTGTCTTTTTAAAATTATTTACTTTTAGGTGTTTATAATCAATAACAAAAAAGATATTTAACATTAAACATAAAAAAAAATAATAACTACTGTTTCAGTAACCAAAAAGTGCACAGTTGCACAAGAGATGGAAGAAGTACCATTTAATAATCACATTTGTGTTAAACTGAATCCATTATTCTTTATTTTTACAATGAAATAATTCGAATTTCAGTATTTACAATTAATATTGAATGTTAGATATTTTTTATTTATTAATTCTAGACATTAAAAGTTTATTTTTTTAGATAGATAATTTATCAATCTATTAGATGCAAAAATAAAAAATAGGGTGTTCCATTTACATTTTTTAAGTTATTTAACTTTTAACAAACTTCTTAATTTATTAATCTTTACAAATCCACACTAAAAAATTGCTACAGCTTTAAATTCTTTACTTTTTTTGCAGAAGTAAGAAAAAATTTGTTCTACCTGTCTTAGTTTTTGTGTAATAAATTTTTAAAAAGTGCATGTTTTTGTCAAAAAAACGTCTTATTTCTAAAACTAAGCGAAATCGACTAATAAAAGTTTAGCGTAAAACATTGTGTTAAAAGGCTACATCCAAAAGTGTTTTATTTAAAAAAACACAAGTTTGTATCTTAACCTATTTTTGGGATGTGCTGTATACTTGAAAATAATAATGGACTTTTTCAACTCGCTGGGACATCCTGTATGTAATGTTGACGTTCCTAACTTTGACCAAGGGTGGAAAGTGCCTCATTACTGACTTCCTATTACCTACCTCTATTACTAGCCTCGTTTTTTAATCTCACTTTTTTTGTCTGAATCTTTCATTTCAATAGATATTTTTTGCCACACAACCTTTTTAAAAAAAAATTTTACTTTCTGTCTTCGCAGAAATGAAACATTATCCACCTCGGTATGTAATATACTATTACGCGCACTTCTAGATCACCTGCCTATTAAATAGAAGCACCTATTAAATAGAACTTTTACAGTAAATAGAATTTATTTATTAGAAAAGTTACTGGAAATGACGGAAAATGCAATAAAGGTTTTTGAATTAGTTCAAGTGTGAGTCGATTGAAAAATTAGTGAAATGTTTGTAGGATTAGATGTAATCCCACCAATGGGCAAAGTTGGCGTTTGTAGCTATTCGTGAGATTGTTTGCAGGAATTTGGGAAAGCCTTTGGGCGTGATTTTTATTCATATCGTGATTTTGTGTGAGAAAATCTTATAATCGTTTGAATGTGAAAATCGAATTTTGACCTTGCCGCGATAAAAGCGTGGTTTTGCGAGTGTTCCATAACTCGAACGACATGAAGTAACATGAAGTGGAATTGCCAAGTGCAGTAATATCAGCATTAGCTCGAACAGCGGTAATATCAATAGAACTCGGCCATTACAGCCAGTTGTAATGTGCTTACAACGCGAAGAGCGTTATGAATATGATGCATTGTTATCCAAGCCCACCAAGCAAGGCTAAGATATTAAAGCAGTATTTCTCTCTAACAACCTCGTGTTATCATAATGCTGCTCGGAGAAGCGAAGAATATCCTATTTAAAAGATTTGCGATTTAATTTTTTGCGTAAACACCGTCGGGAAATTTCTTAGTTGGTGTCAGTTTTCAATTTTCCATCCTATCCGAGAGACATCTCATTATGCCCGTCCTTTGTTTAATGTAATTTTTCATCCGAGGTGCACTATTGGCTGGATATTCTAATTATATGGAAATGAATCATTTCAAGAATTCGTTATCTACCGCGCCGAGGTGTTTTCTCGCGTGTCGCTATACTAAATTTTGATTTATGGCTTCGTCTGCCTGCAACTTCCTTACAAAATATGATAATGCAACGAAATAACACCAAAAAACAACCAAAAGTATGAGGAATTACGCTTCTTAATATACACAGATGAAACAGAAGGTTTCACCGTTTTATAAATAAAATAATGGGGTACTATTTTTCTCCCATGACAGGGCGATTAACCCCGCTACAGGGGCTCCGAATTTTAAAAAACTAATACTAATGCTCTTATTTTAAATCGACAATTTATTAAATCGCAACTTTAATGTCTACATTATGACAAGGCATAAATATGTAGATATGCTCCTAGTTATTTACACGTAATATCATGCTCGTAGGAAGGAAGTCATTTTGCATTTACGACATATTCTTGCTTACATTTAAATATTTGGTGTGTACAAATAGTACCAAAAACTTGTGTGGGTTTCTCATTTCATATTTTTTGTCAAAGTCAAAAGTAAAAAGATGAAAAGTTAGGATAGTATATCACAAGATGGAAAAGAAATTTTATTTTTTTTATTACCCGGGAGGTGTAATAATAAATGCGAGGCTATAAAAATCTTTTCCACTGTGTTTTAAACAATATTTTTGTTAATTTATTATTACCTACAGTGATTACCTGAGTTATTCGTTGAATTTGGAAGTATTATTTTACAATATGAAATATTTATTAAAATAACAAAGAAATTCAAAGAAAAGGGGAAAAACTATTAAAATTTGTCTACTACCGGTAGTATTTTAACATGAGATAAATTCATTGTGTGTTTTGACAGTTTTGCAATGACAAAAAATTAGGGGTGCTTTTTAATGAAAAAAATTAAGTTTTTTTATTTAATTTTGCATTAATTTTATCTTGAAATACTTATGTTCATACTTATGTTTATAACAGTTTAAATAATAATATTCTGCATACCAAGTGAAAAAAAAGTATGGAATCAAAAGTTTTTTGCTTAAACTACTATAAAAAAACTATAAAAATATGATGTTTTATCAAGAATAAAATTTTTTGAATTTCTTTTTGTTTTTGAGTTTTACAAAAAAATTTTTTTTAAATGACAGCCCAGTATAAACCATTTTTCTCATGAAGTTTATCTAATAATTACAACTGTCTACTTTATATTTGATTAAAAATTTTTTTTTTACATAAATTGCGATTTTGTCTGAATACGATCACATTTTTTATATTAGGTACCTTAATTTGTATTAACTATTATTTTCTGGAGATTTAGAAAGAAACCTCTTGGTTCCATACTTGATATTCACCCTGTATAATATTATGCAGTCAGTATAGCCAGCTCAAAAAAATAAATTCACCAGATCCGAGCTGGCAGATTTACACCTATTTTCACTATACTATGATTTAAAATTTCTTAATACTGTCAAAAGTTTATGTTTTTTTACATAAATTCTTCAAATCTGCTCAAAAACAACGTACTTAAAAGCTCGAAAAACGCAACACTGTTTTTGGTGTAATTTTCTGGCTTGTTTTAACCAAAATTTTGCATTGTTACCTAAAAAACGTGTTAAAACAGTTAAAAAAAAAACACACAAAAATTATGACTTTATTTGGTGTTTTTTGAGTTGTTTTGGCAAAATCTCGCAAAAAACTAGAATTTTAGTTTCAAATTTTGCTTATGAAGACTTGAAAAAGGTAAATTAACTCCATTTTTGACCTAATTTCGTGTTTTTGGCTTATTTTATGACGGAATTTTACTCAAAAACGAGCTAAATTAAATGAAACGTACACTTTAGATTTTTTTGTAATTTTCAGGCATGTTTTGTGAATGAGTCTCTGGTTCAAAAACGAAATCGAGCAAAACAAGCTAAAATAATCTTTTACAGTGTAATTAGAAAATTTTTCAGTCAGTTTTAGGAAAACTTTGTATAAACTTCAAAACAAGGTAGAAATGCAAAAATAACACTATTTTGACACATTTTGTTTTTTTTTTTTAAATTTTACAAAATATGTAATACCCTCCTCCCACCTCTAATTTATTATTGGCCTTGATCAACAATGAGAACGATTATAGACTTCTAGGGGAGGAAAACAATTTTACAGTTTCTCGACAAACTAAATATTTTTTACAACTTGTAATGAAAAATAGTTATTTATGTATCAAGGGAATAAACAACAACTTTAATACAGAGCATGTAGGTAATGTTTATTTTTATTTGGGGGATTAACGATGTTTATTCTAGAGATGCATACAAAACTTTCCCCTCAATCGACTTATAAAATAACGTAAGAAAATAATAAATGTGTCAAAATATTTAGTTCATTCAATTGTAATTTTAGGAGTAAAAATCGGTATTTCATTTATTATATTTGCTAGGGAGTAAGGCACCAGATTATTAGTCAATTTTCTTCACAAAATAATAATAATAATAATAAGAAAAAAGTAGAAAAAACATTAGTCATTTTTTAATATTAGAAAAAGAATAGTTAGTATTAAACTGGAGAGAAATCGCCATTTCCACGTTCTCATTTGCGGAATAATATACTATTTCTACTTAAGTGTTGAAAAATAAGAGTTAAAAACTGTTCATGATGGAGTGGAATTTCTTGTTGGTTTGTTTTGTTTTCTCCAATCTTTTAGTCTGTTGTCGTAATGGTAACATAATATGTGGCAGACGATGTAACGTCAACAAAGCGTGTTAAAATTGATTTAGGTTGTTGAAAGCAAATTTGTTAGAAAATTTGTCAAAGTTTGTTTTTTGTGTGTGTGTAACGAGTAGATTTTCCGATACATTGTGATCGTGGCACACTTTCTGAATTTCTGAGTGAATTTTTTCGGTGTCTGTAGCTTTTAGTGAGTGACGTTTGGATATATAATGTTATAAATGCAAGCCGTAGTATTCCAACATGACGCAATCAATTTTCTTAGTAGACTACCTTACAAGAAAGGAGTGATGTATCACCTAGGGGTTTCAAGGGGCCAGCCTATTGACAGAAATTGGAAATAGATTGAATATCGACCTTTTATCAGACAGCTCCGGCATTACATATTCCGAAAGCTTTTATCAAAGTTATCAGTTAAATTGGTTGTTTAAGCGAACGAATAAACTTTGGTGTGTTGAGTGAAAAGTTTGATATTTTGCAGATCCACAACTCGAGCGAATCTGCTGTCGTTTTGTCTTCCGTTGAGCTCTCCAGCAGCGGTGTTTACAGATGCGAGGTCTCTGGAGAGGCCCCCTTCTTTCAGACCGTCACTGAACATCGCGAGATGATGGTTGTAGGTAAGCCGACTTCATTTCGCCTTTAATTACGCTGAGAGCATCGTGTTTAATTCCAAGTTTGTTGAATATGTAAAATAGACCATTAATCCGGCGAAAAATAGAAAACAAATAAAGTAGTTTAAGGAGAGAGCTTAAATTACACAAGGCGACAAAAAAAAGTCATGTCGTGACAACTTGACAAATTTTATATCATTTTGTTCGTCTCAGTAAGACAAATCAAATGCACTAAAAAAATTTCAAAGTCCACACACTTTGAACAAAATATTTTTTTTCTAATTTAAATGAATTTAAAATACTTTAACTTTAAAAAATCATTACTCAATAACTATTAGGCCGATTTCCTTCAAATAAAGACCATTTTAAAGGGATGGCTTTGCCCTTTAGGATGATATGAAATTTGAAATTGAATAATGGCAAACTTTTTTTCGAACAGTGTTCGAAGAAGTTCGAAGTAAATCGAAATAATGTAAGAAAAACCCTACGAGTATTTTTTTTTTCTTCGTCACCATCGTGTAGAGCATCTTTTTATTAGTAAGAATCCAAATTTTTAAAATAATATACCGAGTAATTTTAAGATATGATTTTTTGAAGTTAAGGTTTGCTATTCAGGTATTGCGCCATTTAGGAGAAATGCATGTTAATCTTACTTAAAATTGCATTTTTATAAAAGTATTTGTTTTAAGGCTCTTCTTTTGCTTAAAAATGGTCAATTGCCACCTTCTTTGTTCTAATTAGAATAAAAAAAAACTGTTTCTTTACTTAAAACAAACAAAGAGTACCTGCGTACTAATTAAAGCAAATGATCTAAAAATGTTCTAAAAATGATCACTGATTATTGTGCAAAAAGGATCTAGAAGTTTAAAGCAGTAGCTTTAAATATAAGAACAAATCTTTTTCAAATTAAATGACATTCCATTCAGATTCCAACTTGTTCACTTTGTTCTAGCTTTCTGAACTTTTTTTGAAATTGTTCTCAGCAAATGATTTTTCAAAACTTTCTACTGATTTTGAATGCAATAAGTCAGTTGCTTCGTGTGCAACTATTATCACAACAACTACTACCTAACTGAAGCTAATCGTCGAATGTACCAACAAAATAAATCAGGTGACTTATTGCATTTAACATCACTCGAAAGTGATGAGAAAGCATTTGCTTAGAACATTTTCAAAAAAAGTTCAGAAAGATAGAACAAAGTGAACAAGTCAAAATCTGAATGGAAAGTGATTTGATTTGAAAAAGATTTGCCCTTATATTTAAGACTCGTGCCTTAAACTTCTAAATCCTCTTTGCTCAATGATCAGTCATTTTTACAACAAAAAAACTCTTTATTTGCTTTAATTAGTACGCAGGTACTCTTTATTTGTTTTAAGTAAAGAAACAGTTTTTGTTTATTGTAATTAGAACAAAGAAGATGCAATTGACCATTTTTAAGCAAAAGAAGAGTCTTAAAACAAATACTTTTATAAAAATGCAATTTTAAGTAAGATTAACATGCATTTCTCCTATATGGAGCAATGCTTAATTAACAAACCATAACTTCAAAAAATCATATCTTGAAAACTACTCGGTATATTTTTTTGAAAATTTGGATTACAACTAATAAAGAGATGCTCTGCACGATGGTAATGATGAAAAAAAATTACTCGTAGAGTTTTTCTTAGATTATTTCCATTTACTTCGAACTTCGAAAAGTTTGCCAATATTTAATTTGAAATTTTATATCGTTCTAAAGAGCAAGGCCATAACTTTAGAATGGTCTTTATTTGAAGGAAATCGGCCTAATAATTATTGAGTAATGATTTTTTAAAGTTAAAACATTTTAAATTCATTTAAATTAGAAAAAAAATATTTTGTTCAATGTGTGTGGAGTTTTTAAATTTTTTTTAGTGCATTTGATTTGTCTCACTGAGACGAACAAAATGATATAAAACTTGTCAAGTTGTGACGACATGACTTTTTTTTTGTCGCCTTGTATAATCCGGCGAAAAATAGAAAACAAATAAAGTAGTTTAAGGAGAGAGCTTAAATTAGTCGACGAGGCCCTGTCTCGATCGGTTTAGCTCTCAGCCGCGCTGTAATTACATTTAAGAAAATTGCTGCTCCTACTCCGGAACCGGAGTGGTACAGAATGGCTCCGGAAATAAGCTAACATTCCAGGATTGGGAAATGTCCCGGAGGAATAACCGACTTGTTGTAGGCCCGCACCGCTATCGGCGTTTTAACAATAAATGAATTCCCGATTTCTTTATTGAAAATTCATTGCAAATCCAAATCCTGTCATTTACCATCAAAAACTCATGGAAACTTTACAATTGGGTATTGAAACTGTTCATCTGGAACTCATGCTTGCATAAACTTCCGAGAATCCGGCGTTACATTACAAAGACCCATTTACTTAATACACTAACGCTTTCCATTCAATCCCTTCGTTTCACATAAAAAACTTAATTGTTTACACTATGGCTGCGTGTCGAACGAAACCACTGCGTGGGTAGGGAAAGGAGTTTGAGTTACTGTCGCAATTAGGACAGGGTTCCTAATATTGTTAGCGCCAACAACGGACTTTAGATTTAAACCACACTCCTTCAGACTTTCTCGGGTTGGCAATTTTAGTTTTGAGAAAATGCGTTTTATGCAGTTTTGGAGTTTCAATTTTCTAGTAACGTAGCTTAGTAAAAAAAAATTAAATAAGAAGTTAAACGACAAAATAATAATTACACTAGCCAACAAGCATTTTGTGACTGAGAAGAAAACAGTTATTTTTTGTTCAATTCTATGTGCTATACTCAAAAATGATAAAAAAATTCCATAGCAGGTCAGATTTTAAAGTTAGGCATTTTAAGATATCATATGTAAGTATGTTCGACAAAATCGTCGAAAAACGAAACACTTAAAATTTATTTTTTCCATTCTCATTTAAATTATTTTCACCAAATTTGGGTACCTTTACGAGCAAGGGGAAAGGTTCCACCAGGATATTTGACGATGGAAAAGAGGTACCAAGGGACATGGGTTCCAGCTATGATGGGGGATACTGCTGGTTCCTAATAAGGGAAGTTAAAACATCCTACAAAAGAATGTCAGCTTTTGCAAAAAACTCATCTACAACAGAATTATGTTAGAATCTTATACATCTTTCAACATTGTTCTTGTTTAGTGAATAAATTAATTTCTTTCGTCGTCTATTTAATTAATTTCTATTTGAAATGAACAATTTTTACGATAAAATTTGAGAAAACTATTTTCCTGTAACTTAAAATCTGTACGTGATGGAGAATTCGTAATTAGGGATATTAATGTACCCTGATACACGTGTCAATAGATCAATCACATTAAAAAAAAAATTGTTGAGTAGTGTTATTACAGGAACTCCAAATTTTATTGATTATTTAAAATTCAAAATCAGTTTTAAAAACTTACTAAAAATTTTAGGCACTTGTGTGCAACAAAACTGAATTAAAAAATATATAAACATTTAAATCTCCAAAAAAAGGTCTA